AGACAGTCGCGAGAAGATTCCTAAAGATCGCTGGATCTCTATTCAATGTTTCGAATTAGCACTTTGTGCTCGATAGCATCTTTCGCTTTACCCCGAATAACAACAATGGGGCCGACTTATTGTAACTGAGCGAAGACGAGTGGACGGCATCTTCCTGGCATCTCCTGGAGCGGATTCCACGGGGAATCGCAAACTGCGAATGGAACAAAGTTCGCGAGATTCCGCGGCGATAGCAAAACGCGGCGCGGCTGCGACCGAGGAAGAAAGACCGAGATATAAAGCGAATCGCGGCGCGTTTCCGCGCTGACTTCCGGCGAGACGACGCGGCGCGTATACGCGGGCGGAGAGGATGGGTCGACGGTAAAACAAGCGGTAAGTTTTGCGAGAGTTGCGAAAGTTTCTCCTCCCGGCCGTCGTAGCCGGGACGAAAGTTTCCAACTACGCGGAGTTTGTCTCGCGCAATTAGAAGTTCCCTGTATTATTCATAGCTGACGTCGCTCTCTACCTCGTTCCTCCGTCCTCCCCCCCCCCCGGTCCCACCGTCGCGCTTTCCGTCCTCTCTCTCTCTCTCTCTCTCTCTCTCTCTCTCTCTCTCTCTCGCTGTGTGTGTGCGCGCGCGCGCGTGTGTAGTCGCGTCTGTGGATGTGGATGTGGATGCTGAAAACACCATGATCTATGGCGTGTGCATCCCCGCGAATAACGTCAAGGCACTTGGCCTGGAAAATCTCCGGAGTGCATTCGCGCGGATGCACCGGCGGCAGCCGCGTATCGCATCCGTGCGCGCAAACGCATAAACGTCAATGGACGGTGCACGAGGAAGGGGACGTTGCTGCTCTTTCTTTGTCGTCGTCATCGCCGTCGTTGTCGTCGCCGACGTCGTCGTCGTCGTCGAGCAACTTTCGCTGCGAAGTGCGTGTCGGTGATGCGGTCTACGAAAACGTCGGCGGCGGCGCGGCGAAAATATCGGCGATGTAATTTTGAACGGGCCCCCGTTTCTCCGGGGACCTGTGGGAAGTTCTCCCTGGCGAATTTATGAGTCAGCCACCCGGTGAGCCACCAGGGACACTAACGATAACTTCGAAACTGTCGAACTATCGATATTTTCCGTTTGAATGTTTCTCAACTTATTTTCTTGGTTTATTTTTATTAATAGTTATTAATAGGTTATTAATAGAGTTATTATCGATATTTATAGAGTATGATCTATAGCGAAGTTATCTTTTATTTAAGTATCGCCGACCACTCCGGCAGCTCTACCACACAGCGTCGAATTGGCCACTTTATAGCGGAGCTATATGCATAAAACTGAAGAGCCTTTACGTGCCCCAGCCGCAGAGTGTGACTAGTGAAATTATTCTAGACGCACTTTATACCCGATGCCAAAACATCCACGATAAAACCTAACGACGATAGGTGCTTTCCCGTGTGCGCATCCTACAACTATACTGTAGGACCAATCCCATCAGAAAGATCGAAAGTCGTCAAGGAGGAAAAGGTCAAGGTTCAATTTCCGACCGGGATCCTTTGGGCGATTTAAAATTTAGGATTCCATCAGAGCCCGACGGTCTTTTGACGAGCTCTTTCCACACGGTAGCACGGTAGAATCCTTTCGAACGAAATCAGGATGAGAAGAGAGATCTTATCGGTAAGGATTTTTTGGTGAAAATTAATTCTGATTCCAACCATAGCGCATTCAATTTTAATTATGAAAACTGCATAAATGTATTTTTAAAATGGTAAAAATTTTTTAAAAATAAAATTAGAGATTCCGAACTCTGATTTAGTTTTTATAATTAGATATAAGACTCTTTTCCTGGGAGAAAAATGTTGAAGTATTAAAAAAGAAAATTTAGAAAAAGATATTTGATTACTTGTAACTAAACTAAGACAATAATCGTCGGAATTGTCTCTTCGAGTTCTCTTCGAGTCCGTTTTAGAATTGAGAAATTTTTCACGCACAAAGTTGAGCTTTCCTCTTTTAAGGATGGACAGGATGTGGTTTTCTTCACGTTTCGTCTTCATGCTGATGGCTCCCATGAGTGCCGTAAACGCACACCTCCTGCCGGTGCATCATCATTGGAAAAACCACCCTCACCTTTTCCCTCTCGGCTCTACGATTCTTCGGTTTCCGAGTTAACGAAGAGAGTTGTCTCTTACATGCGAAACATCGCCCGGCCAAGCTTCAAGTTTTGGCACGAAACTTTCCGCGATATTCTACGCTGCAACTTCGTTATCCACATCTAACCCATAAATTGTACGGTATACAACTTCAGTAATCTTACTTTTCTAGATTAGAAAGTAGCGACTGCTTCTCATAAGAGAAACATAAATTTGCATTTGAATATCTCCTTAAATAAATATGATAAAATATAACTGTGTGTGTACGGCGCGCTTTATATAATATGATTTTTTATTAATCCGGTCTCTATATTAACGTGATGTATAAAAGATATACTTCTATATCGGAATAACAGATTGAAAAAACGCGCTCTCAGACTCTAATGGAGCCATAGACATCAGACATAGCCTATAGAAGGGCCAGAGAGGGCAATCCGTCCCTGAGGAAGGGTGGACGGTCGCCACTGTCGGCTCAGCTTCATCCCCACCGAATCCTCGTCGAGGGGGAGGGCAAGGCGCTCAATATCAAATCGTGGAAAAACCGTCGGTGGAAATATCGAGGATGGAGCTGAAGACGTATTATTGTGACTCGGTCGACCATAGCTCGTCCCTTCTTTTTCCCTTACCTTAATCTCGATAAATTTTTATCTTCTATCTTCCCCAAGTTTGATATACCTTACCTTGAATATCGCGCCTCGGCGAGGAGAAACGGTGCATTTTCATTAATTAAACGTTACTAATGGTGAGAAATATACGTCGAAGAGAGATTAAATTCCGGTGAGATTGATAAAACCGTCCTTTTGTCGGCACTGTAAGCGAGCGTTATCTTAATTTATTTGAGATTTATTCTAGAAAAGGGAAACGCGAAACTTTTTCACGCGTTTTATATATCCCCGTGCCCCTTACTTTGCACGTGACACGTCATTATTAAGGGATCTTATTAGCGCGAGTATAGAGGACCGCCAGCGAAGTTGCGCGCATCTGGACCCCCCGGTATCGACACACATACACAAGCACGTATACATATCCGCACATCGTATATCGGCTTGGTAACGCCGCATACATAGAGACAAGGCAACCATCCCGCGCTTTGCGGCTGCCAAGACATTTTTCTCACAGCGCCGTTGTGCATGCATAATGCATGCACATGCAGGGGGAAGGAGGGCTGGTTGGCTCTGCTACCGCAGACTCCTTACGCGGCGAGAATTCGAAATCCTTCGCCGTGACAATTTTTCTCACCGCCTTCCCCCGCCCCCCTCCCTCCTCACCGCCCAACCGCCTCCGTAAAGATGATGGTCGCCCGGACCGTTCCGGTAACCTCCTCGCGTAAAAATGTCGGAATCAACAAGATGGTACCGTGTGGCGTACATTTTCTACCTCGTGCATACCGGATACCCTGAGAATTTCCGAGATTTCTCCTTTCGGTCCTTTCCCCCGTCTCCCGTCTAACGACTCATAAAAAATACACGGAACGAGCGAGCGTGAATGATAAATGTCTCGATACGACGGCGGATACGTTTAGGTTCGACGCTCTAAACGCGATGCCGAAAATGCGCGACAATTTTAATAATTCAACAACGTGGAGACACGTACAAAGCGACTCGGCAATCTCTCACATCGCGTTTCATTTCCCTCGGATCTCTTTATTTATCGAGAATCGAGAAAATTGAGAGGATGCCAAATTGGCGCGTACTCGACGACTAGCGAACCTCATACGCTATTTGTAACAAGTTTTCTTGCAAAGCACATGGCACAAAGAGGATCGCCGATGGTACAGCGAAGGTGTCGACGATTCCTCGTGTACGCTCTCGTATCAACCGTCATATTCGAGAGCGACATAGCCGGCGCTTCTGCGGCAGACACACGGGACCTGTTGCTGTCGAGTTTACGGTGTTTTTACGAGCGACGTTACAGCCACCCCTGAGTACGGGGGTTGAACACACCCTAGCCGTAGAAACGATATCCCTCTCTTCATTGCCGACACCTATGTGAGCACCGTCATGGA